GTACATGACTGATGGCTACAATTCTTTCTGGGGGTGGGGGGTAGAACTATGTGACAGGGGCCTGGTTTTGGGAGCAGGCAAAGCTCCTACTGTCCCTTCTGGGTCCCTGGGGCTTCAAGCCCAGCTCGACCTTAGCAGGCTTCCTCTCACAGTCCACCACCCCACACCTTTTACAGGGCTGGATTTGTGATTAGAGATTGTTTAGATTTTGTTTTCTCATGGAATATCTTGTTTTCTCCATATATAGTGATTGAAAGTTTTGCTGGGTATAGTTGTCTGTTAGCATCTGTGATCTCAGAGTCTGCAACATATCTGTCCAGGCACTTCTGGCTTACAAAGTCTCTATTGAAAAGTCAAGTCTAATTCCAATAGGTCTGCCTTTATATGTTAGTCTCTTCCTCTTGCAGCTTTTAATATTCTTTTTTTTTTTCTTCATTCAATGGTGAACAATGATATGTAAGTGTAAGCCTTATAAGCCCTTTCCTTCCAAAGTTGTTTTATTCACAGTGATTCATCACAGCAATAGTAACCCTAAGTCAGTAACCCTCAAAAAACTTGTTGCCTCACCAAGTTAGACAAGGGTAGAATTATTTCTATAGTCTGTTATTGGTGCTCCATCTGAAGTGATATTTAGTCATGTGCCCGGGAGAAGTCAGACATAACTAGCACACAAACATGGACCTGTATAACCTGAGTTGGCGAGGGGTAGCCCTATGGCTGTGATAGGTGATAAGACACTCAGTTGAGGCTGATGCATGAGGTGGTGTTTTCATGAGTTCAACACTAATAATAGCTCTATTTCCCCTTGTGCTATAGAATGGTATGCCTTGCTGTAGACTGTGCTATAAGTAGTTGCATGCTCCCTGTGATAGGTGACAAAACATGACAAAACAAGTCCAAGCCTTCTGAGAATCAAGTATTCTTAGGGGAAATCCTAGGATAACCACTTTCCTCTATATAGTATAAGGTAGCATGCCCTCTTAAAAAGAGTACAGGGAATGCCTCTTTACCAAATGGCTGATCTATTAGAAACTATAGTGCAATTTCTGACTGTAACACAGAACCAAAAGCAGGATGTGGTGGAAGTTGCATGACCTTTGCAGCAGACAACAGAACATGCAACTGAGGAAGAACTGTTTTACAAAATTTCCTCATCTAAAGTAGGAAAGTACAATGAGAAAAAAGAAACATAGGCACTATCTTCTGCATTGGGATCTGATTTATTAGGAAGGGTGGAAAACACAAAGAGATGGCGGCACTAGCTTGCTTATTTTTACAGCTAGAAAGATGGGAAAGAAACAACATTCAAGTTTGAGCTGTGTTATAACATCATTTATGGAATCATAAAACTTGAAACTCATAAAGAAAAATCAATGCAGGAGCAAACCAAAGCACACATGACAGAAGATGCACCTCAGAGCTGACCTTTAGTATAGAGGAATGGAAAATCCAGGATTCAGCATGCAGACAGGGATCAGCACAGGAAGCTATTATTGAGAAATAATATTGTACATCTGAACTGCTTGAATTGGAGGAAGAGTTTAAATAAGAAATAAAAGAGCTTGCACATAGCCTGGCCAATAAGGCTATATGATTTGGGAGCCAAGCTCTGAATGACAGGTGTGAAACTGAATAATATAACTAACTGTCCCCTGTAAGACAATTGTTGAGGGTAATATTTAGAAAATGGCTCTCTGTCTGGCTTGTTCCCAGGCAGCCACCATTTTCCCAGTGCTCCAGCTCTGGACTGTAGCTCAGGCTATCTAGAAACACCAGCCCTGGCACCCACAAGATGCCAGCATGGTGACTGGCTCTGCCAATCCACCACGTTGTCTACAATGCTTGGCTGAGCCCAGATCATCTCCACTATGACCTTGGCACCTGGTAGAATGAGGGCTCAAGGATTATCCAATGGATTTATATATTTGGAAATGCTCAATTAACAAGATGTCCACACAATTAGAATTATTACCCAAGATCTAACCTTTTGATAAGTTGCTGCCCAGGACTGCTCTCCAACCATCCATAGTTCTCCATGGCTACTAGCCTCCTTCTCTCCCCTCCTAGTCTCCTCCTCTTCTTCTCCTTCTTTCCTCCTGACTCCTCATTCTGCCTACCTTTCATACAGCCCAATCACCGAGTTTTATTGCAAATGTAGTAGGAAATACCCTACTACAGACAATGACTGCATAACCTAAAGCAGTTAGAGGAAAATCAAGGAACGGACACAGACAAGCCTTTAGAGACACTCGGTTATTATCTCTTGAAGTTCCCATAAATATATACAACAGTATGCCTGGCATTGCTGAGGGGATCTGAATGTCAAAGATAGTGTTTGATACCTATTCACCATGCTTACATAGGACTGTGTACGTGGGAAAATTAAGAAACATGTTGATTCAGAAGGCACCTGTGATTGGTATAAGCTTTAATTTCTTTATTAGCCCCAAGTGAAGTAAATCTTTACAAGATCTTGTGAAGAGACTCTGGCAGAGCTATATATTTAAACCAGCAAGTAAATAGAGTTCATCAAATGCTAAAGAAACCAAAAGAGGGGAAAGAGGATAGCAAAACAAAAAGGTCTGCCCAGGTAATTCAAAGTCAAAGGTGGCAAGATTCATGTCAAGAGTTCCTGGTGGGGAAAGAGAACAATGCTGTTCTACTGAGTTATAGGTGGTTATACCTGGCATGGCATGGGTGCTGGGAACCAAACTCAGTTCCTGGAGAACTTTACAAACCAAGAATTTACCACAGTTATCTTATTTTAAAAACAGTGCAGATAAAAATATTAAGCTTGTTCTGGGGATGGGCAGTTATTCCCAGTGTGTTGAGTACATTTTTCTTTATAAGAATCTAAACTAGGTGTGTAGGTTGTTCCCTCATCCAGGGAGGTCCCTTCAGTAACCAGGTGCAACCAAGGAAAGACAAGGGCCATAATGCTGGCTTAGGAGTTCAAGTTTGTCCCACTAAGACTGTCATATTCTAAGTCAATCCCAGTGAACCTACCATTGGTATTTCCAGGAAACATAGAAGTGATGGGATCTTTCATGATAAACTAGATATTTCTAAGGTATCTGGTATTCCCTTAGTCATCCAGGCTCAATGGCACTTGCTTAGAATACACAGTAGTGGGCCTTCAGCAATCCTGCCCACCATCTTTTAAAAACTATCTCCTTATACAATGCCATTTCTTTTGGAAAAGCATCAGAACATACAGCAAAAATAGGTTAAGACTTCCAAGAAACACCATGCACACTCCAATAAACAAGAATGGTGAGTAAAAAAAAACCCCAGGGCCAAACATGAGATACTTTTTAAGTTGGAGGCCAGTGGAGCCCTTAAATCCCAAGTCATTAAGGACTATTGCTATTGGTACCATTCCAAAATTAGATAACTCCCTACTGCTAAAGACAAAGTGCTGAGAGTGACTGTTAGAGTGGCCTAGTGGGCCAATGCTTAGCTGTCAATAGAATAATCCAGAATCTATATCATCCCAAAGTTCAAAAAAAAACATTGTATACAAGTGGGTGCAAAGAATTTAAAAGCTAGATGAAAGGTTGGAGTATTATGTAGCTATATCCTCCAAATAGAAACATTCCCTGCCTCCTAAATGGAGAAGAGATGCGTCATAAAACTCAAGAAGCTAGTGAAACAAGATTCAGAAAGTTCAAAGGTGCAAAATTCACAATAACCCTTTACCAAGATTATAAAAACAATAAACAACTACTAGATAGACTTTCCAGTGGATGCTGCCTGCAGGTTGAGCAGAGGGGTCCAAGAATGCAGCTTTCATGAATTATCAACCCATGCCAGGGTGGGCTCTTGTTGCCCTAGTCCTTGGCTCCTCAGGATGCTCCTTGGGAGTAGGGGGTAAGAAGGCAAGAAATCAACAACCCAGATTCCAGGATTCAGGTGAGAAGAAGCAGACTCATTAGTTGCAGGATTGGTGAGCACCTTTATACCTTCCACCCATGCCTCATTGGCTCATGACATCTCACTCCCTGTAGCTGGCACTATCCAATTGGTTGGCCAATCTTTATGCATCTGTTGTATTTTCTCTCCATGTGCCAGGCAGATCTTAAGGTTGTAAAATGTGGACACAGCTGTTGAGCTTGCATGGCCCAGTCAAGGTATACGACTCATTCCTCCTACTGGCTTTTAGGTGTCACAACTATACTGGAAAACCCATGATCCTAAAAGTAAACCCTGTCTAAGTCACTATTCTATTACTGTGAAGAAACACCATGACCAAGATAATTCTTATAAAAATATTTAACTGGGAGCTCGCTTAAAGTTTCAGAGGTTAGCCCATTATCATCATGGCAAGCAGCATGGCAGCACACAGGCAGACATGGCGCTGGAGAAGTACCTAACAGTTCTATATCCTGATCCATAGACAGAGTGACAGTAAGTTTGGCATGGCCATTTGAAATCTCAGAGCACACTCCCCACTAATACCCTTCCCCCAACAAGGTCATACCTCCTACTTCTCAAATATTGCCACTCTGTGGTGGCTAAGCATTCAAATATATGTGCCTATGAGGGCTACTCTCCTTCAAACCACCAGAAACCCCTAGGGCTTGTTCCTATTGATGACCCCATTAAGTTCAGTGGCTTACCAAGCTCTATTTGGACAGAATCATTTCTTTGATCTGTTATCAGTGCCCTACCTGGGATGAGTAGATGTTTATTCCAATCTGTCCTCCAAAAGCTAACACAACACAAATCATTAATACACATACACTGAAGTGTTTAAAACATTAAAAGTACACCTATAGAGACACCTAGAAATCCATGGCTCTGTGAGCACACAAGATTTGAGAACATATGGAAGCATTTGCCATATTCCATACACGTAATTTGTCTTCGTTGTGAAATACATTTAGCAAAGGTAGTGGTATACATTTTTTTAGCTCTAGTATTTCTTTTCATAAAGTCATTCTCTATTTTGAGACCATTGAACACTAAATTACTTAGCAGACATATAACTGCTACACATATCACATATCAATAGTATTTTGCTTTATTGTAATTGTTCACATACTTAGCAAAACCTAAGGAAATAATGATGTTTCCATGTTACATTGTGTGGTCTATTTGTCAGATTGTGAGCTGACTTTTTGTATTTCACTACCTTCATGGAGCATCTTGATTGTGAAGCCCTCATAAATTTTTATGATTTATGTTAAATTATGTGTATGTCTGAGTATGAGGTATGTGCATAGTACCATAAGGACATATGAGTACAAGTATCCACAGAGGCCAGAAACATCAGATCTCCCTAGAGCTGGAGTTTCAGATGTTATGAGTGGACTGACGTGAGCACTGGGACCCATAATCAGAAAGAACAGTACATCTGTTAAGCACTTCTAGGACAGCTGACTACCTGTGCCGAGCGTGATAATGTGAATATGGGAATGTGCATACTTCTTAATGAACTTTCTCATTCTTTAATCAGAGTTCCACTCTGTGATTATTTATGTCCCATATGATCAGAAGAATAAGTGATGCCTTTCTCATATTATTTCCATTTAGAGTGTAGAGCTGTTCAAGTGTAAACAGTAGAAGCTTTCACAGGATTTTTCTACAGTATGTTTTCTGCAGTGTTTAATAAGGGCTAAGCGTTCAGTAAAGGATTTCCCAGAGTTCTTATATACATAGGATGGCTCTCCAGCATGCACTCTCATGTGACTACAGAAGTAGGGGCTTTGTGACATCCTGTACACACAAAGGGCTTCTCTCCAGTGTGAGTTCTCAAATGTACATTAAGAGATGAGGAGGAAACAAAGGCTTTCCACACTGGTGACATTCAAAAGGCTTCTCTCCTGTGTGACTTCTTAGCTGTGAAAGGTGAGGAAGGAGTGAAGGCATTCTCACATTCAATGCATTCTTATGGCTTTTCCCCACTGTGAGTCAGTACACGTATATTAGAGCCAGTGTGGACACTTAAGTCCTTTCCATAGTCCTTAAATTGATATGGTTTTAGTCCAGTGTGCATTCAGAAGCACAACTTAAGGCGTGTAGGATTTCTAAAGGATCATGTACATATCTGACATTCAAAAGGCTTCTCACCAATATGAATGAGTTCAGTAAGTTAAGAAAAGCTGATGAATGCTCTTCCACAGTGCTAACACAGATTGGGCTTCTCTCCAGTGTGTGTTCTTATATGCCTGCTGAGGCATGAGCACCCACTGAATGCTTTCTCACAATTTTTACATACACAGGGCTTCTCTCCAGTGTGAGTTTTCATGTGTCTACAAAGATAGGAGGACCGTGTAAATGCTTTACCACACATTGTACACTCAAATGGCCTCTCTCCAGTGTGAGTTCTCAAATGCGCAGTAAGGTATGAGGAAGATGCAAAGGCCTTTCCACACTGATAACATTCGAAGGGTTTCTCTCCTGTGTGACTTCTTATGTGTTCAATAAGGCCTGAGGATGTACTAAAGGCTCTCCCACATTCCTTACACTCATAAGGTTTCTCCCCAGTGTGAGTCAACACATGAGTGGTAAAGCTAGTTCGTCCACTGAAGGCTTTCCCACAGTCCTTACATTGGTATGGTTTTATTCCAGTGTGAACTTGGAAGTGCTTCTTAAGGCATGAGGAATTCCTAAATGATTTTGCACACACCTGACATTCAAAGGGTTTCTCACCAGTGTGGATTTTCATATGTTCAGTTAGCTGATAAAAGCTAGTAAAAGCCTTCTCACATTCCTTACAATCATAAGGCTTCTCCCCAGTGTGTGTTCGTGAATGTTTATTAAGGCATGAGCGCACAGCAAAGGTTTTCCCACACTCCTTACAGTCATAGGGTTTCTCTCCAGTATGAGTTCGCATGTGAATTCGAAGGTAGGAGGAGCGTGTAAATGCTTTTGCACATACTGTACACTCAAAGGGCTTCTCTCCAGTATGAGTTCTCAAATGTGCAGTAAGATAAGATGAAGAAGCAAAAGCCTTTTCACATTGGCTACATTTAAAAGGTTTCTCTCCTATATGACTTCTCACATGTTCAATCAGCCCTGAGCATTTACCAAACACTTTCCCACACTCTGTACACTCATAAGACTTCTGCCTGTTATGACTTTGTACATGTGTAGTAAGACCTGAGTGTACAGTGAAGGCTTTTCCACATTCTTTACCTTCATAGTGTTTCTCTAAAGCAGAATAATTTGTAGATTGAGTAAAAGCTTTCTTACTTTGCTCCAATTCATAAGAATTTTCTTTACTGTGAGCTCTGCAATGTGCCTGAAGTAGCAACTGATTAATAAAGGCTTTTCCACAATCACTGCATTCAAAGGAATTGTCCAGAATGCACGTCCTCTGGTAAGCAATGCTTGGCTTCAGGGAAAAGGCTTCTTCACATTGAGTCAACACTGAAAGTTTCTCATCAATAGAGGCTTTCTTGGCTGAAGGAAGTAGGTCTTTTCTGTACCAATTATATTCAGAAATCTTCTCTGTATTTTGAATATCCATGTGTGTCTGAAGGCATGGGTGTTCACTGAAGAATTTTCTGCCCATTTTAGAGTCATAGAGCTCCCCTCCATTGTAGCTTCCAGCCTATTGAGATAGAGATGAATGAGTATTAAAGAATTTTCAGACTTAGGAGGATGTTCTTGGGGTAATTCTGAATCACAATGCTTCATGCTAGAAAACCGGTCAAGAAAAACAGGCTACTTCTCTTAAACATCTTTTGTTCTTTTGTTCACACATAGAAATATCACAAAGTCAAAGAGTCTCTGACTTTGGAAACTAAGAAATACCTTTGTTAATCTTCTCCGTTGTATCTCCTTTGATATATCTGACCAAAAACTATCCAGCTGAAGTTCTGTCTCTTTTGTCTCAAGGTCCACTTTCCATTCTGAAATAAAACATTTAAAACTACACATACAAATATTTATACAAGAAAATAAGATGTTAAGTATTTGTTCTGATATTAAACATGCTAAGCTAATAATGTAAAGATAGAATCAAACAGATTGATTATATAATTGAACTCAATTACATAACTCTATAATTTGGCAGTCATATGGATCTGGGGTCAAAATAAAATTAACAATTTTTTTCTTTTTATATTTATTTATTTTGTGTGTGTGAACATGCATGCATGGCATGACACAAGCATAAAGGCTAGGAAAAAACCTTCTAGAGTTGATATTCTACTTCTACCTATGTGAGTTCCAGGAATCAAATGTAAATCAATAGGATTGAAAGAAAGCCTACCTCTACCTACTAAGCCATCTCAGTGGCCCCAAACTAAGTATTTGTTTATTTGTTTATTTATTTATTTATTTTGGTCAAAACTACATGAGATGGTAAACAAAAATAATATAATTTGGGAAAGAAAGCAGTGTACAACTACAAAAAAAAAAAAAGAATCAGAAACTCAAAGTGTAAAAGAGCAGATCACTGTTGACATCATAAGAAAGTCTGGATATGGGGCTGGAGAGACGATGGGTCAGTGGTTAGTTACAAGGACTTGTTACTTTTTCTGAAGACCTATAAGTTTCAATTCCCAGCAGCCACACAGTAGCTCTCAATTATCTGAAACTTCAATTCCAAAGGATCTGATGCCCTCAGTTCTGGCCTCTGCAGGCAGCAAGCACATAAACTGTATAGACTGACTTGCAGGCAAAACACCCATACACAGAAAATTTTTAATAATATTCACGTTGGCCTTTTTGTTTTTTCATGTATGTATTTGTGTGTGTGTGTGTGTGTGTGTGTGTGTGTGTGTTCACACACATATATAGGCTTGCACCATGTAGGTTCAAGGGATCAAACTTAGACAGTTGGGTCTGGAGGAAAGTTTCTTTACCGGCTGAGTCATCTCATCAACCTTCAAGCGAGTCTTTTTTAAAAAGTTTTCTAATGGATGGCATTCTAATGGATTTGGTCAAAATAAAATGTGTTCTCATATATATATATATATATATATATATACACACACACTTTAAGTTTGTGATTCTTTTTTGTAGTTTACATATATATATACATATACATATACATATACATATATATATATATATACTTTTGTAATATATATATGGGTATACACACACACACACGTATATATATATATACACAAACTTTCCTGAGGTTCAATAGATGGCTTAGCAGTTAAAAACCACAAAACCTGGGCCCAATGTTGAGAACCCACATGGTAGTTCAAAACTCTCTGTAACTCCAGTCCCAGGGCTCCATCAGCACTGCATGACACAGCATACACATGGTATACAAATATACACATAGGTGGAACACTCGTCGCGGTAAAATTAAAAAAAAAGAAAAATATTTTTTCAAAAAAGCTTCCTCATACTTAAAAACATTTGGAACTTTTCAAAAAGAGATGATTTTAACTCATACTCACCCTGGACAATGCCTTCTTGCACTACAGTCAACGAATTTACTTCCTCCAACCAAGAGACCAGGCTGGGTTTGACAAGCTGAACTCCTATACACAGAAAAATATGTATCAGTGACAGAAGCTCACAGAAGAGATGACAAACGTTCCCATGAAAGAGAAATTACATTTCTAATAAAACATGAGAATCTATCCCTTTTTAGATAGGGCCTCAGGTAGTCAAGGCTGGATTTGAACTCACTATGTAGCCTAGGATGACCTTGAACATATGATCCCTATCTCCATCTCTTAAGAACCGTAATTGTAGGCATGTAACACCATGCTTAATTTCATTCATTCGGTACTGGGGATTGAACCCAGGGCTTTGCGCATGTTAGGCAATCACTCTACAAATACCGTTACATCATGAGGCCCTAGAATCTTTTTTATAAAGATTTATTTTTACTTTATGTGTAAGAAAGTTTGCCTACATGTATGTATATATGCATCATATGTGTGCAGATGCCCAAGGAAGCCAGAAGAGGGTACCAGGTCCTCTGAAGTTGGAGTTACAGATGGTTGTGAGTTGCCATGTAGATATTAGACATTGAACCTGGGTCCTATGCAAGAATAGCAAGTGCCCTTAACCATTAAGCCATCTCTCCAGCTCCGAGAATTCACTTTAAATAGTTCAAACTATTATTATATTGCAAATATAATGCAATTATTAATCATTTGGTCTTTGACTCTTAATATTATAGTCAAGCTTAAACATGGATTAAAGTCAGACAGTGGTGGTGTATGCCTTAGTAGATAATATAAATTAATATAATATAATATAATATAATATAATATAATATAATATAATATAATATAATATAATATAATACCTGTATTAGCCAGGTAGAAGTGGTGCACACCTTTTACTCTAGCACTCAGGAAGCAGAGGCAGGAGGATCTCTGAGTTCGAGGCCAGCCTGGTCTACAGAGGGAGTTCCAGGATAGCCAGGGCTACACAGAAAAACACCATCTCAAAACAAACAAACAAACAAACAAAAAACCCCATAGATATCAAGATTTTTATTCAAATTGCATGCAACAGAGATGGAGAAAGATCTTCAGTCTCATGGGGAGTGACTACACCAATAGTTGTCTAGTTTTTGTTTGTTTTGATTGTGTTAAGACATGGTCCTGCTGTGCAGCAGAGGCTTATAGCTCAGGCTGACCTCGAGCTTGTGGCCAGTCTCATGTAAGAATTGTAAAAACAGGTAATAGGAACGCAGGTGGAGATTCTTCTGATTCAGTATGTCAAAGATAGAGTATAAGGTTATGCATTTCTAAGGGAGGGGGAGTGACATTATTGATTCTAAGGCCACATTTATTGACAGCTGCCAATAACAGATTAAAATGTGCTAGGGCAATGACAATGGCTCCATTATTTCCTAATATATTCAGAGTTAATAACATCGATCTTGAAAAATATGTGTTTTTCTTCTTTAATAGGCTACAGGAGATAATGGCAGTCTTACCTAGGATAGCCACGTTCTGGTAGTTCTCTAGCATCACATCTCTGTAGAGGTTTCTCTGAAACGCACCCAGTAAGCTCCATTCTTCTTTGGCAAAGTATACAGCCACATCCTCAAAGGTCACTGAGTCCTAAACCATCACATGCATGCTAGTTTGAGCAAAGCGACATCACCTATGCTCACTAGAAAATGCAAAAGTGACACCCATGCCTGTAAAGAAGTCTGAGGTCTCAAATATTTTATCTCAGAGCTCAGTGATACAGAGTGATACTAAGACATCTCTACCCCTACTCATTCTGAGGACCTTGTATAATTAATCGTATGACTTTTGGGGACCTCTTACACATGAAGGTCTACTTCCATAACTTGCACACAGAGCCCTTCTCAGCCTATTTCTCTATGCACTAGATATTCATAACTACAACACAACCTGATAAATATGTGAGCAAGAGATGGCTTATCAGTTAAGAGCACTTATTGTTCTTGCAGAGGTCCTAGGTTTAGTTCCCAGTACCCATAATGTGGCTCAGTTCCAGGGAACCACCCTTCTCTTCTGACTTCTGTGGGCAGCAGGCGTGTATATGGTATAAATACCATATTTATACATGTAGGCAAAACACTCATACATATAAAATCAAAGTCTAAAAAGAAAATTTGCTAATGAGGCATGAATGCATTCTTGGAGTAAGGCACCTGCATCTTCCCTATCATTTGCTACAGCACTTACAAAATAAATTAGGCTATCAGTACCAGAAAAGTTGAGGATAGCATAATTACTAAAATACTAAGGTAATTTTGAGAGTAATCCCAATCTCTGTTGATCCAATTATTGCATCTTTTGGAAAAATACTAATAAAACTCATGCTACCTTTAGATAACCTCTATATACAGGACCTCTTCAGAGATATCATTCTATCGTGTATGAATTTTATTTTAAGGTAACTTTTCATGTCTCAATTTTCTATAATGCAATTCTTAGTCTTCTGTGAATAAACAAAATATTAAAAATACCCTAGTGATTTACATCATTAATCCCAGCACTTGGGATTAAAGATGGAACCACAGAGGCAGAGCTCTGAGTTCAAGGCCAATCTTATTTACATAACAAGTTCCAGCCTAGCTAGGGCTACACAGTGAAACCCGGTCTTAGAACAAGCAAAAGGAAAACAAATTTGAAAAGAAAAGAATGCTGGGAGCTGACACTGTAGCTCAAGGACAATACACAGAAAGAAAGAGTTCCTTTGTTAAACTTACCATTTGTAACTCATAGGAAATATTTCCTCTCAGCAAACCCGGTTGTTATATTAAATCTTTGGTTTTTAAAAGCATTTTCCCATTCTGAAATTTAACAAACAAGAACCAAATTTCAACTTGAGCAGAAAAGGTAAAGAAATAAAAAATTAAAGGGAGACAAAAATGGTAGTGGTATTAACAGCTATTTTCAAAATAAATACACTGAGGGCAATGGCTCAGGAGGTTAAAGTGCTCGCTTCAAAACCTCATGCCCAGAATTCGGATACCCAAGACCCACACTAGAGAAGGAGATGAGACTTCTGTACGTTGTCTTCTACCCTCCTCTCATACTGTGGCATGCATACACCTATGCTAGTGCACACGCACACTCACACATACGCACGCGTGCACACACATGCATGCACACACGTGTGCGTGCACATAGACACAGACACACACACTCATTGTGCTTCCAACTACACTGGACTTTTATCAATGATCAGTTCTGCCCTCTCATCCTTTTCTTTCCATTATTTGTTCTTATTACAGTTAGCACTGGGAATGGAATTCAAGTTGTTTGGATAAGCAGCAAATGTCCTTACCCACTGACCCATCTCACTCCCACTCTGTTTTATTCCCAAGGCATCATACTGGATTCAACCTTAAAGTCTGATAGGAAAAATGTGAGTCTAATAAAGCAATGTTGCTATGGTAACTATGTTGCTTGGTAATATTTAAACAAAGCAGGGAACTGGGCATGGTGGCTCACACTTGTACTCTAAACACATGGCATTCAAAAGCAAGAGAAATGCAAATTTGATGCCAGGCTGGTCAATGTAGTAAGTTCAAGGGCCACAGAAACTGTCTCAATTTTTTAAAAAATTGTAATGTCTGCTGTAATCTTAGCTGTACAAAAAAGGTGACGTAAGACTATTTTATATCTAGAGCTCAGGTTTACACAAGATACTTTCTCAAGGAAAGAATCTTAGTGGCTTAATGAACCAACTGAGTAGGAGCATGGAAGACAGTGGTGCCGACGGTGATTTGAGCTGGGGTGGGGACATGGTTCAGGAGGCTTCAGAGGGCAAGGATATCAGTAAGTGGCCTAGTGACCATCCTTGTGATATTTTGATCAAGAATGTGGCTGTTTTCTGCCCTTGACCAAAAATATCTAACTGAGGCTAAATTGAAGAGTTAAGAATTAACAGCGTTGGCAAAAGAGATTTCCAGACAGTCTAATGTTGACTGTGTCCTATGGTTATTAGTGGCCAGTCTTATGTAGATCTATATTGAAAAGGGGGCAAGGGAAAATACAAAATGTACAGTTTGTGGAAAAAAGGAATACCAGGAATTTTAACCGGATTACAGAAAAGCCCAGTGCTAACTGAAGTAAAGGGAGGGGTGATCTCAAAGCCAGACCCCCAACCAGCTACGTTTCCAACTTGTGAAAATGAAATAAAGAAAAGCTTAGAGGCTGGAGAGATGGCTCAGCAGTGAAGAGCACTGACTGCTCTTCCAGAGGTCCTGAGTTCAATCCCCAGCAACCACAGGGTGGCTCACAACCATCTGTAATGGGATCTAATGCTCCTTCTAGCAAGTAGGTGTACATGTAGATAGAACACTCGTATACATAAAATAAATAAATAAATTTGTTAAAGGAAAGAGAAAGAAAGAAAGAAAGAAAGAAAGAAAGAAAGAAAGGAAGGAAGGAAGGAAGGAAGGAAGGAAGGAAGGAAGGAAGGAAGGAAGGAAGGAAGGGAAAAAGAGAGGCTTAGAGGTGGGTGTAGTGGTTTGAAAGAAAATGGCTCACTTGGGCTCACAGGGAGTGGCACTGTTAAGAAGTGTGGCTGGCGTAGGTGCAGCTTTATTGGAGGAACTGTGTCACTTTCTCTTCCTGCTGCCTGTGTATCTGGATGTAGAATTCTCAGCTACCTCTACACCACGTCTACCTTTGAACCACCATGCTTCCTGCTATGACCATAATTGACCAAACCCCTGAACTGTAAGCCAATCCCAATTAAATGTTTTCCTTTATAAGAATTGCCATGGTCATGGTGTCCCTTCACAATAAAACCCTAACTAAGATACCAGGCATGGTGGCACACACCTTTAATCATAGAACTCCAGAAGCAGGCGGATCTCTGAGTTTGATGTCAGCCTGGTCTACAGATCAACTTCCAGAACAGCCAAGCTTAGGCAGTGAAGAAAATAATCAAAAACAGAAAGCTGGTGAAAATGTATTTGAATGAGGAGGTCATGTTCCAGCCCCAGCAAGCAGCAGAACTTGGTAGCTTTGGCCACATGGTCCCAGTTTTAGAGTCAAGGAATTAGAGAAAGGAATTATAGAATCACTCAGTGGCTAAGGATATGTCCTGCTGAGGCTAGGAGTATGTCAGGAATGCCCCTGCGTGAAGGCCCAGAGAATCCATTGCATGAAGCTGTGCAGGTGAAGCCTGGATTACTTTGGAGACTCCTAAGATGTTGGAGATGCCAGAGCTGTGGGATACTGTGGGGCAAGTAGATCATATCAATAGATAGAAGAACTGGTCAGACTGAGTGAGCTCAAACCCAGTGAATCTCAGAATTGATAAGGGTGCCCGCCTCTATCTGCTCTGGAACACGTAACCACAGCACCCCACTGAGAGGACCATGACATAGCAGTACACACTTTTAGTCCCAGCACTCTGGAGGTAGAAGCAGGCACATCTCTCTAAGTTTAAGGTCAGCACAGTCTACACTACACAGAAAGTTGCAAACCAGTCAGGGCTAAATAGTGAGACCCTCAAGGGCTTAGGAGGACCAACCATAATGGCAGGCACCTGTAACCCTAGCTTAACTAGAAAGGGAGAAAATAGAAAAGAAGGAAGAGAGAGGGAAGGAGGGAGGGAGGGAAGAAGGAAAGGAGGAAGGGAGGAAGGGAGGAAGGAGGAAGGGAGGAAAGAAGGAAGGGTAGGAGCGACAATTTCCATAGAACTTGTAGAGGACCAGCTGGTGGAGACTTTGTGCTTGTACCAAGATTTCCATGCATTTGACTCTCAGGAGCCACTAGAGTCCTTGAGTGGACTGGTAACAAAGGAATCTTTATAATGTGAAAAATTAGATTTTTTTTAAATTTGCTAATGCCTCTCAGACTTTCTGTAAAGAAAAACTAGGGTTTATTTCCAAAAAAAAGTATTTTAAAGTATACCATGAAGGATTTCCAGATAGATCTTTCTAAAGCACATTCCAGATAACAGGTTGCTAGTAACCAATGGCCTTCCGGGGTGTTATTTACATGTATAGCAAGTTGTGGAGGACAGCACAGCTGAGAACCTTCCCTTGGCTCAGAGAAGCAGGTTCTGGCCCTGGGAGAATTAGTTTCAGCCTCCTTGGATTCTGTGGAAGGAAGTCAGAAAAGCATGAGAGACTCTGAAAAGAGGCTTCTGCACCCTTGTCAGGCCTTTCCAGAGACCAGCCATAGCCCTGAGGCTCAACTTTTGTGTTTGCTACAAGCACTCCGATCCTGCATTGAAAAGTCTGGATGAAATGCCCTAAGAAAGATGTGGCTCTGGCAGACCAGATATCTCTCTGTGCCATGGTGCACGGGAACAGCCTGGAGGGAACATTCAGACATTTAAGCACTCATACCATGCCCATTTGCAACATTAAAGTGATTGTAGCAAGTTGAAAATGTATGAGAAGGAGGGAAGGGGTAAGAAGGAAGGGTGGGTGGGGCAGTTCCTTATTACAGGAGCATTAGCAAGCTTTGTTAATGCCTTCGGGAACTCTGGACCATGTGATGAGGCTGGTCAGGAACTCTAATACAAAAAGCTGTCACTACTGGCCCGCTATTTACCCCCTAAAAAACAAATAATTGGCTAACTATGAGGCTTTCCTAGAACAGAGGATCTCAAAGACCCTGGGCCTGACAAAGGCAGCTGCCTGGGACATGGAAACAACATCCAAGCTTGGCATGAAACTGAAAGAATGGAGTCAAAACTTGGGTCCTGATATATTCTACCTCAGCTTAGGCAGGGGCTTGTCTGCCCTCAGTCCCTTGACATTTTCCTACCCTAGAATATTTGACTACCTAGAATGTCCCTTGTCCCTTAAGATTAATTGAGTGAATAATGGTAATGTGTCAACTATACAGACAGCTCTGCTGAGCACCATGTGTAAAGGGGCTTAATGAAAGGCTGTTCTTTTCATTCATTAGCAAAGACAGAGCACAGGGCATAAAATGCTCGACCAATTATCCAGCAGTCATCAGTGCTGAATGTTCTCTCAACAGATTGTCTCAACTTCGGATTTATGAGTTCATAGACAACTACTTTAAAACTCTCTCCTTCAAGCCCTGTGTGGTAGCATATACCTATAATCGCAACACTTGAGAGACAAGAGCAAACAAGTCACTATAAGTTTGAAGCCAAGCTCATTTATATAGTGAGCCAGGCCAATAATGGTATCCTGTCTCAAAACAATAAAATTAAACAAAAGTATATATCTTCAGGGGCAGGAGACATTCCACAGTTAAAGAGCAGACTGCTCTTATGCAGGACCCAGCTTCCGTTCTTCAGGTAGGTCACAGTTGCCTGTAACTCTGCTCCAGGAGATTTAAGGTTGTCTTTAGGCCTTCTCAAGCACCCACACACACATACACCAAAAACAACTGTTTAAACAAAAAAACCTGTGCCCTTCAAAATAAATGCACCAACACCCTCTAGGAACTCTTCTTGACAGAAAACAAAAATATAAAGAAAAATATCACACATCTCTATACAAAACAAGGCTTTGTTAAAATATTTCTTGTTACTGGTACTTACAGTAAGCTTATTCTTGATGCCCAGTTAAGGATTCTAATTCCTAAATTTCCTATGTATGGAAAATTCAAACATTCTTGCTTTGTTGTTTTCTCCTGATTTACATCATTTGAATATCACTTATTGCTTCTCTTAGTTACAGACTGAATAATTTTCCCTCTTTCCCCTCATATAGAAAATGATTCAAGTATCAAATTAAGAGTAATCCCTAGTTCATTTGCCTGTCTCTCTCCATAAACACAACTTGCCAATTCCAGAAAATTTTCATCTTCTCTATTTTCCTTCTGTGTGTGTGTGTGTGTGTTTTAAATTTGTTATTTTATGTATATGACTGTTTTGCCTGGAGATTATCTATCTATCTATCTATCTATCTATCTATCTATCTATCTATCTATCTATGAGTCTGGCACCCCAAGAATTCGCAGGAGGCTGTTAGAGCCCCTGAACTGGAGTTAGGAATGACTGTACAGACCATGTGGATTCTGGGAACCAAACCCAAGCTCTATGCAAGAACAGTAACTGCTCTTAATAACCAAACCACCTCTCCAGCCCCTCCTACTCACATTTTTGCTGTCAGTTTAAACAGTCCTTTTCCTAGTTTTCACTACTTCCATTCAAAGAAAGAAAACAATATTTTCCTCTACTTCTACATACTAATCAAATTGTAATAATAAATGTATCTCCTTGTATGGGTCAATAGGAAACAAGAACATACACTTGGAGGTGGGGAGAGGCTGGAGAGATAGCTCAGCGGTTAAGAGCACTGGTCCTCCAGAAAACCTGAATTCAGTTCCCAGGATGCACGTGGAGGCTCACAACCATCTGTATCGCCAGTTCCAGAGGATCCAATGCCCTCTTCTAGCCTCCACAGGCACCAAGCATGAATGTGGTGGAAAGATATATATACAGAAAAAAAAAAAAAAACACCTACCTATACACATAATAAAACAATCGTTTAAAATAAGGTGTATTTTGAGAAGAATGTGGAGAACTTTAGTTTTATTCATACTACTTATTAGTAACATTGTTGAGACAAAATTTTGTAATGGCACCCAGGCTAGCCTCAAACTCCTGATCCTCCTACCCCTGCCTTTCTCCTGCTGAGGTGACAAGTGCGCTCCACCGCGTCCAATAATAACGCCTTTTTCTTATTTTAAGAGAAGTGCTGCTGAGGCTGCTGTGGGCTCAGTGGAGTGTTCGCACTGCTCTAGCAAAGGACCCGGGTTCCGTTCGGTTCCCTGCTTTCACAACTGCCTTAATCCGAAAAGGCGCTCACCTCAACCACATGAACACTTCCGATCTTCCAACTGCTCAAGAGGACTTAAGACCAAAAACCAACAGTGCAAAGTCTTTCCCTTTCAGAAATTAAAAATAAAATTAAATTTAAAAATATAAAAATAAACAGATCTGGTCGTGATCGCCCATACAGCCGGAGGGCGCCGCCGCCTTGACGGAGGTGCCGAGCCGGTCTTACCCAGGCAACCTGCAGGCCACCACCTCTGAGGAGCAGAGGGACCACAAATCCCGTAGTCCGCGCGGGAAGAGACGGAAGGCAGTGACAGAGAGCACTTCCGCCTCCGGAATGACAGCTGCCGGACCGGTTCCGGCTCCGGCTCGGGTATTTTTGAAGGCTGACAAGAAACTTGAAGTTCTTCCCATGAAGGTGCAGTTGACCCTCAGTAGACTGACAGTAAGGAAGAGGGGCAGAAACAGGCCCACAAGGTTAAGGTCACAGTTACGAGGGTGGACCTGGCTGTGGGTGGGGACCATCCACTACCCGGACTTGAGTGGCAGGTCCGGTGCCAGAGGAGGACAGGGAGGTTAGAAGACGTGTTCTTGTAGGTGCTTTGCACACTCAGCTTTTGAGTTGCTTAGCTTCACTGGTGAGCCTGGGAATCCATGAAATAAACTGAATCCTGTTTATTCGTTCTGACTTTTAGATTGCGGCTTACCTTGGACACTGCCTCTTCCAACAGTTGAGACATTGGGCTTTCTGTCCTGTCAGGGTGGGCCCAGTGCACTAGAGTCCAGACCAGAATTAATATGAAAGACACCGGAGGTTGCTGGTGACCTAAGTCAGCGGTTAAGAGTTCTTTCCGGTGTTCTGGATGACCTGAGTTTGCTTAGCAGCATCTTCATTGGGCAACTTAAAACCACCTATATACTCCAACTACGTATCTCCCCACTCTCCCTCCTCTCTCTCCAAGTCTAGGGTCGGGGGAGGAAGAGAGAGATGGCTCAGCAGATAAAGATGCTTGCTGCCAGCTTTGGCAATCTGAACTCAATCACCAGGCCCCACATGGTAAAGGGAGAGAACCAACTCGTCCTCTGACCACACACATGCATACACACACACACAAATGGATAAAGAGATACAATTTCTTTTTAAGAAGCATACACTGAACCGAAAGTAAGTAAATTATCAGAGCGAGCAAAAGAGAATCGCCACCCCACCCGGATCCCGGGGAAGGGGGATCCTTTTATAGCGATTGAAAGTTGTCTGGGCTAGCTGAGTAGGATTATATTTGAGAAGATAGTAAGAAGGCTGCTTATTATCTTGAGACAGTTGATCTTACAATGCCACTTGTCCTCCAGAGACTGGCCATTTGAGGTGAAGTCCAGAACGATTAGGAGTTTGCCTGTTTGCTAAGACTTTGCAAATCACTGGGTCAGACCAAGATTCAAGCTGTTAAGATTGGTTTGCTAGGAGTAATATTTTTTTTTAGTATTTGTTAATTTATCTATTTCGTGTGTGTGTGTGGGTGTGCGCGCGCGCGCCCCACTCCAAGCTTGCCTGTGGCAGGCAGTCAGTTCTCTCCTTTACCACTTAGTTAAATTCCAGGGATTTAACTAAAATCTTCAGGCTTGGCAGAAAATATCTTTATCCACCAAGTCAACTCATGACATTTTTTTCTTGGCGAATTATATTTGGCTTTTCCTCCTTTATAAAGTTCTTAATTTGTGTCGTGTGTGTGTGCACACGAGTGCATATGTAGTCTAGAAGAGAGCATATGCTCTCCTAGAGAAGCATTAGAGGAAATTGTGAGCACCCTGACATGGGTGCAAGGAACCCAACTTAGTTCCTCTGCAAAATCAAGTTCCCATGACTAGCTGAGCCTTTAGCCTTACTGCCTTAAAAAAATTCTTGGCTTTTTTCCCATATATTTTTCCCATGCTATGGTTTTGTTTTTTGTCTGAAACTGTGGGGATTTTTTTCTTTGAATATGAATTATGTCATTCCATGAGTTCGGGTTCTTACATATCGTTGATGCCAGGCAATCTCCACTATGCAGGATTGTCTTCAGATTTTTTTTCTAGTAATACTTTTTGAACACTTATTTTTGGGAGGTGCCCATGCATGGAGTTAATAAAGCATCTAACTAAACAAAAAATAATTAATAGGCACTGGGGAAAGCACAATGGGTATGAATACTTACTTGCTCTGAAAGAATGAGGGCCTGGAATCCCCAGCACCCATTAAAAAGGTGGGAATAGCTACGTTGTGTGGCTCATTCTTGTGAAGCTTCTTAGCTCCTGCCATGAACATTTCATTTATGCAGTCTCTGACAGTATCTGCATGAACAGCATAATGCTATCTGTTTAGGCTTCTGTGCTTCCTTGAATCACAGCTTTGTCAGGCCACCTTGTGACTAACCAGTAGTACAGTGACAGCTTCCAAACTGATCTTCCTCTGTAACTCCTTTACCCTGTTTTGGCTTCTTAGCTTATCCTTTGTTTTCAAAGATTTTTGGGTTTTGTCTTGAGACAGGGTTTCTCTGTGTAGCCCTAGCTGTCCTGGAATTTGTTCTTTAAACCAGAGACCCACCTGCCTCTGCCTCCGAGTGCTGGGAGTAAAAGGTGTATGCTGCCCCTGCATACGAGTTTTTATTTTGTATGAGACAAAGATGAAAGGCCTGCGCTAACCCTGTGCATTACATGTATGCCAGAAGAGACTTCAGGTCCCCTGATGCTGGAGTTAACAGATTTTATTTTGTTTTTTTAAATATTTAGCTGGATGTGGTAATAACTTTAATCACAGCATACAGTTAGAGACCATCCTAGTCTAAATAGTGAGTTCCAGGCCAGACCCCGTCTCAATCAATCAAGTCTGTGTTTTTATCTTAAGTTACCTTTCTATTGCTGTGAAGAAACACCATGACCAAGGAACGTCTTAAAAGAAAGTGTTTATTTCTAGGCTTTGCTTACAGTTTCAGTGGTTGAATATATAACCAACATGGCAGGGAGCACGGTGGCAAGTATGGCACTGAACCAGCAGCTGAAAGCTTACATATTAAGACAACCACAAGGCATGAAGGCTAAGCCTGGCACAGGATTTTGAAACCTCAAAGCCTACCTTCAAATGAGACACCTCCTCTAACAAGACAATTCCTCCTAATCCTTCCCTAAACAGCTCCACCAACGAAAGACCGAGTGTTCAAATGTATGAACCTACGGCAGTCATTTTTATTCAAACCACCACATTCCACACCCTAACCCCCAAAGGCGTATAGCTGTCTTATAATGCAAAAATGCATGTAATCCAACCTCAAAAGCACCCGTAGACCTTACAGTCTCATGGCTGTCTCCTGTAAGATCAAAAGGCAAAATTTTTCCACCATACAATGGCATAGAACATACATTACCATTCCAAGGAGAGAAAAGGTGGCATAGTGGGGAAATACTAACCAAAGCAAGACTGAAACCTGGAAGATCAAACTCTAATCCCAACGCTCAATGTCCTATGCCAAAGAGCTTAGATGGATGATTCTTTAGATCTCCCAATCCTTGTAGCTTTGGTGACATCAACACACCTCTTTGAGCTGGTTCCATTCTGTGTTGCTCTTAACAGATATCCTATGGCTCTGGCATCTGCAAAATCCTGAGGTCTCTAACACAATCCAAGCTTCACTTACTCAGCTTCACACAATGGCCTTTCTTGAGCTGCCATATATGGACTCCTGTGTCAAACCCTTGGCCTCCCCAGCTTTCCTTACCAGACAGGAAGATTCAACCCCTTCAAGACTCTAAATCTAGAACCACTTGGCTGGTCCTGTTTGACTGGGCTGGGGAACCTGCCCCACTCCTTGAATTACACTTGCATAAGCTTTGATTTCTTGATGGTTTCTTTTGTTGAATAAGTTTTCCTTTGCTTTAGAAAATTCCTTAAGCATTTCCTATTTACAAGCTGGACAACTGGCTTGGTGGAGTCTTACCCCAAGAGAACCACTCCCTTTATTCCATTTCATATCAGGCCTTTCTTTAAACTTTTCATCTCTTTAAGTACAAGATTTGACTCCAACATTAAATTTTCCAGTGTTCTTTCTTTCCCTCCACATTTTGTACTTTTTTGCTCCCCTTGCTCTTTCTCATTGTAGATCTGCGTAAGAGTGACCACAAATAATTCTATCTTACTGTTCTATGGTTGTGAAGAGATACTTGGTCACAGTAGTGACCAAGACAACCTAAAAAGCATTTGGTTGAGGGCTTGCTTACAGTTTCAGAAAGGGTATCCATGACCATCATGATTGGGAGCATGGCAGCAGGCAGGCATGGCATGGTGCTAGAGCAGCTACATTTACAACTGATTCCCAACTTGAAAGCATACATGGGCCTTGCATGGGCTTTGGAAACCTCACAATCACACACCTCCTCCATGGCCCCCTGATCCTTCCCCAAAACAGCACTATTAAGTAGGAACCAAGTATGTGCCTATAAGGGTCATTCTCATTCAAACCACAAACCTCTGATGTTTGTGTGAACGTATGTATGTATGTATGATATATGTATGTATATGTGTGTCAGATAAATGCCTGGTGCCTGTGGAAGTTAAAAGGAGTTGGGGGCACTGATTGTGAACTACCAGGTAGGTGCTAGGAACTTGGTCCAGATCCTCTGCAAGATCAACAGTTCTTAACCACTGAGCAGTCTCTCTATCCCCACCTTTTGACAATCTCCTACATGTATAATGTATTTTGGTCACTTTCACAACACATAACTTTTATCTCTCAGTATCACTGAACTCCTTTCCAACAAGTCCCTTCACATGTTTGTGCATGTGAATGCCCAAAACAATGGAACTGTCTCATGAGCATAGGTGGGGGCTAATTCCTGAAGCATAGACAAATTACAGGTAAATACCCCACTGAGGAAAATGACTCCTCTCCCAACAATCACTAAGCTCCTTAGAGGTTTTTGTTGTTTCTTGAGTTCTTGGCTGCTGCAAATCTTAATTTCATCAATACACAATATTGGCAGCCAGGGTTCCGTCACAGTATACAGAAGGTAGGCTGTGACATTGTTCCTGTCCAGCTACGCCCGAGAACTCAAACTGTTACATTAAGCAGACCATCCAAATGAAGGTGGTCAATCCAGTTGTGTTCTGGAATTCAAGGAATTGTCCTTTGACAAAG